ACTGTTGTCGCGCGCGGGAGACACACGAGTTCAAAACATTTTTAAAGTTTTGGGGATTATTTCTGTCAGGGGCAACCAAAAATCCTAACATGCACAGCCAGTGGCGAAAGCACACCTGCACAGACAGTGGCGAAAGCACACCTGCACAGCCAGTGGCGAAAGCACACCTGCACAGCCAGTGGCGAAAGCACTAAGTATGTGGCCCTAAGTCTTCAGGGTTAAAAACCACCGCCCCCCCCCCCCCCCACACACACACACCATAAATCTCTGGAAATGGCAACATATATTATTACACGGAACATTTTGTCTCCATCTATGTTTCTGTGATAGTTTTGCTGATGAACACTTATAAACGCAACGTTCCGTACATTGTACAAAGCACGAAACAGGTGATGGCACCCTAAATATTTGCAAATAATACCTGCCCTCTACATTAAAGGGCCAGGGTCTGAAATGGAATCCACGAATTTTCAGATTTTGAGACAGTTAAATGGCTCACACAATCAGTGTACACCCATTTATGTTTTGTAGCTGACCATTATATATCTGTTTTTTTTTTTTTGTGCGAGTAAAATTAACCACCATCTACCTGTTCATTTTAGTACAACTAGCGAATGTAAAACCAGTCATATGTAGAATTAACTGATCCATAACCAGTCATAAGTAGAATTAACCGGTATACAATCAGTCATATGTAGAATTACCGCTATACATCCAGTCATATGCAGAATTGACCTGTACATAACCAGTCATATGTAGAATTAACCAGTATATAACCAGTCACATGTAGAGCTAACCAGTATATAACCAGTCATATGTAGAGCTAATCAGTATATAACCAGTCATATGTAGAGCTAACCAGTATATAACCAGTCATATGTAGAGCTAACCAGTATATAACCAGTCATATAACCAGTCATAGAGCTAACCAGTATACATCATATGTAAGCTAACAGTATATAACCAGTATGTAGAGCTAACCAGTATACAACCAGTCATATGTTGAGCTAACCAGTATATAAGCAGTCATATGTAGAGCTAACCAGTATACAACCAGTCATATGTAGAGCTAACTAGTATATATCTTTTTAATGTGCAGAACTAACAACTGTATAACTACTTATACCTACAACTAATCGCATATTTTAAATTCTACCAAGCAGCAGCCAGGGAAAGTACAGGTATACATGTCCCAACTCAATGTTTCCCGAACAGTGGCATTGTCATGTCTATGCTTTATGTGTCCGCTTGTAGTGGAGTTGTTGTTGTTCTACTATGTTAGCATACACGATAGGTGATAGTGGCAACGCCTCCCAAACATGGTAGTAGATCAGACGCGAAGGACCCAAAAATGGCGCAGACTGTGGAAGACGGTTCATTACTCTCATCGGGCGGTCACATGACGAAAATGCAGAGGAGGTGACCTCAAAGTGGGCTTAGTCCGCTTCAGCCTCTCAATAGCATTCTTTTAGAGGGTTAGGGGGAGGAGAGGGGAGGCTGGCTTCTCTAGGCTGGAGACCCCTTACCCCCTCCGACGCCTTTATTGCTTCGGAATATTTTACCTATACATCACGATCCATCACACATGGCCTACTTTAGACAGACCAAGTGGCTGATGACGTCAAGTTGACGTGACGTCACCACCCTGGGCTAACCATACATCTCGTATTACCAATGATAATCCCTTTTTTTAGCTGTGTCCACGGCCGTTCCCTGAGTATTTCTAGGAAAACTTAAAGGAATAAGCTCGAGAACAGAACATGTATACAGGTATATACACATATACAAAGTAAAAGGGAAAACTAGAGGAAAACATTTTAATAGTTTTTAATTTATGTGGCTTATACAGTTGATGGGCTTATTTATTCTCTTCTTTTTAAAATGCATTAGTTCCTTATTAAATTTAATAAGAATAATAAATCCTACTTGGCCCATCTAAAAGTAGGCAATGCATCATACTCTTGAAACCTAACGTCAGACCTGGTGATGTCTTTGTAGAACTTTGTTGGGCAGGAAATGGCGTCTGTTCCCAGTCTCCAAGGAGTTGAAGTCTAAGGCTGGCAGTTCTCAAATCTACGGACTTGGAGAAAGGGCACACTGAAGGCAAATGCACAATGTAAATTACCGAGCCAGGCCGATTTTTACGCAATCACATTCACTTCTGGAGCCGGCATGGTGTAACGGCTTGCCTGCGAATCCGAAGATAGTGGGTTCAAATCCGAAAGGAGCAGGACTTTTCTTTTAAAAATGACCATGGCTCCGAGGTCCACTCAGCCTTAAATTGTTACCAGGTAAAGTACTTGGAAGTAAAGGCTGCCATCGGCGTGACGTTGACCACATCACCCGAGGAGTGGCGATTGTTTTGTTTTTTCCAAGTCCGGCAGTATATACTCAATACACTAAAGGACATAGAAAAGAGTCCTTTATTTCCTATTCAGTCTGATGTCGACCCTGATCGGTTGTCTCCGTTTTGCTGATTTAGGCATATTTCCATGGCGCGCAGTTAGAAATAGTGCGGCTGGAGTGTACATAGAATTCCCAGATGGTACTAGTCCAGTGTACCAACCAGAAATACTGCCATAACTATGATGCAGAAACTCAGGCTATCAAGATAGCAGCAGAGAAACTGCTAAATCCAACCTTGGCTCACAGTATGTGGTAATGCTGACAGATGCAAAATCCCTTTACAGAAAATCGCTCTCTTCAGGCACGCCTAAAGATCTCTCTATCGCCAGCCAAATATCTAGCCCTGTGTGCCTTCACACCTATTGTACCTTCAATATCCTGTATCTATATCTGCGGAGGTCTGCCTATGCCTCGTTCTCCAGAAACCGCACCCTACATCATAGTTTTCTCGAGATCACCCTGATTTGACAAGTCAAAAGTACCACAGCTTTCGTGAGAGGATGCTGTTTACAAGCCAGTTCTCCTCGATGCCCAGGTCATGAAGGATGTCGACGTTTTTTTTTTTTCTTTCTTTCTTGGTCCATGGTGTTCTAAGAACCTTTCTGTAGCATTTCAGTTCAAAAGCACAGATTTTCTTCGTTGAATACTAAGTGAAGAGTCAACTCACATCCATAAGTAGCCACGGGAAACATGCATGGCCTGAAAACTTTAATTGTGACTTGCATTAAGCTGTTATGCCATAAGTTCTTCATGCTGTTTAGCCACAACATTGCTAAAGCAAGACTGTACGTGTTTCTCCGTGGAATATTTGGACAGTCGTGTGCGTGTGTGTCTCAGTGGAATGTTGCGGCCAGTCGTGTGTTTCTGTATGTACAACAAATAATGTTAGTTATTACGAAATCAATCAATCAATCAATCAATCTCTCCCTCTCTTCCTCCCCCTCTCTCTCTCACACACACACACACAAACACACGACTGGCAGGAGATTGCACTGACACATACGCACGACTGGTAGTAATATTCCACACACACACACAAACACGACTGGCAGAAATACTCCATAGACACGCACAGACATCGCAGCAATATTCTATTAATACACGGACACTGCGTAGTGACACATGACCCAAAACCGCCACCAAATAAGAATAGGAAGGGGATTTGTCGATTGTCTCTGGTTCAAAATAATCAACTGAAATCGTGACCCACTTTTTTCCAGGTCAGTGCGTAGGTGGTATCTACTTTCTTATTATTTTTTTTTTTTTAAATGTAACGCACATGGCACTACCGACTTACGTTTGTACTTGTGCTAATACACAACTGACGTTTGCGTGTGTCTGTGGGGCGTGGGGGAGGAGGGGGGGATTTTCCTCACTGTATGGACACCCATAACTTTTTTGATTAACTTGTTATACTAAAAACAAAAATTATACAATTCCCTTATTGGAGTGTGTAAATAAGGAAAACATCACCGGCTTCATGTAGCATAAATTGTGCAGTATCTGCAACTACCTCTGTCTAGATACTTTACTGGTGTGATTTCCCACTTGTATCATTATCTAACTCTTGCTTCATAATCTTTCAAATTTCCGTAAATTAGACAAGCAAACCTCAATGCATGAGAAATATTCAGTCGATCGATATATCTATCTATCTATCTATCTATCTATCTATCTATCTATCTATCTATCTATCTATCTATCTATCTATCTATCTATCTATCTATCTATCTATCTATCTATCTATCTATCTATCTATCTATCTATCTAATCTAATCTAATCTAATCTAATCTAATCTATCTATCTATCTATCTATCTATCTGTCTGTCTGTCTGTCTGTCTGTCTGTCTGTCTGTCTGTCTGTCTGTCTGTCTGTCTGTCTGTCTGTCTGTCTGTCTGTCTGTCTGTCTGTCTGTCTGTCTGTCTGTCTGTCTGTCTGTCTGTCTGTCTGTCTGTCTGTCTGTCTGTCTATCTGTCTATCTATCTATCTATCTATCTATCTATCTATCTATCTATCTATCTATCTATCTATCTTCTATCTATCTATCTATCTATCTATCTATCTATCTATCTATCTGCCTATCGACTTGTCCCTGCGTACGCTTTAGTCCATTATATGTTTAGTTACTGTCTACTTGCTTATCTGACTGACTGTCCAGTTGTTTGTCTATTTAGCTACCTACTTACTTGACTGTCGAGCTGTCTTCTAGCTGTCTACTTGTCTATTGCAGCTGTCTACCTTTTTTTTTTTTTATTTTAACTCTAGCTGCAGGTTTACTTGTCTGTCTTGCTGTTAAATTTGTCTATCTAGACGACTGCCCAGTTAACTGAAAACCTGACTATCGAACTATCTGCCTACTTGTCAGTCTCAGCTTTTCTCTGTTTAGCTTACTTGTCTGTCTCAGCTATTGGCTCAATAGTCTGTTTAGCTACCCGCTAACTTGTCTGTCTCAATTATCGGCTCAATAGTCTGTTTAGCTACCCGCTAACTTGTCTGTCTCAGCTATCGGCTCAATAGTCTGTTTAGCTACTCACTTCTCTGTCTAGCTGCCTTCCTTGTCACCCTAGTAATGTGTTTTAACTGTACTTCCAGCATCTAGACTCGGATAACTGGAACTTGCGCCAGGACTTGAACGATGTCGAACAGACGAGACAGAGCCTGCTGGCCAGGCTCAGGGAGCAAGAGAAGCAGTGTGACCAACTGGACAAGCAGAACCAAGAGATCCGGCAGGAGAACCTCAAGCTCAGGAGTAGGGTGAGTTTTAAAAAAAAAAAATGCACTTGTCCAGTGTTGCCACTTTTCTTTGACAAAAAATATCCAAAACAGAGTCAAAAATATCTAAAAACATCTACATTTGCGTGGGGAAAACATCTAGAAAAAACATCTCAATGGAAAGAGTCACAAATTACGTAGCAATTGATATGACTTACCCTATAGAATCATGTCCTCATCTTTACTGAAGTCTGCCTCACAAGATCCACAGGATAAACTTAGCTTGGATGAAAAGTTGAAGCTTCAGATACAAAATGACTCTGGTATACTTTAGCTGTTCCAATTTCTTTAAATACCCAATCAGGAAGCTGATAAGTGGAACAGCCTTTTCCTACTCTTATCAGGCCGAATTTAATTGTCAATATAGCATTTAAGAGGTCAAATTTCATCCTGTTTCTTAGGTTAGGTTTTATAAATTCACACTAAATAAAAACATCTAGAAAAACATCTACCATCTAAACGTCAAAAACGCCATCTAATGCAAGGGAAAACATCTAAATCTGGATGTAAAACATTCAAAGTGGCAACACTGCACTTGTCCCGTGACCGTTCGCTTGGATAAAACCAGTAATATCTTGCCTAACCCTTCTGTGTTATGACGTAAATAGGGGGGTGACTGCAGTCGAGCTGATTGCAGAAATGCTAAATATAACACAAAATGTGACTAGAAAGCTTAACAGAGGGAATTGAAAAGACGCACACAAACATAACACAACGTTTCGACCAAAGTCTTTATCAACGGAGTGCTAAGTACAGCACAAACTGTGACTGGAAAATTCAACGGACAAAACAACAGGAATGTAAAAAAAAAGAACTCTCTTCCATGTATTGGGCAGATAGTACGAGAGCTATGTTTTATAGACAAATCGACACTCGCAGTGTGATGTGATCAGTATCACGCCAGTCGCCTTTACTTCACGGGAATTTACCTTTTACCTGTTCAAGGCTGGGTCCACCGGGGAGGCAAAGTCATTTTGGGGAAAAGTCCAGTCCGTTCGCATCCAAACCCAGGATCTTAGCATCGACAGGCGAGTGTGTAGCGGTTACAACACAACGGCTTTTATAACTTGGATCTACAGTGTGTACTGGTTTACGACAAGGGTTTTTATTTCTGGTCTAATACAGCAGACTGGCAGCCAACTGCTTTAGTTTCAGCAAGATAGTTGCTTCTAGCCATGTTTAGCTATTGCAGTTTCTCCCATATGTGGACTGAAAGTATACCGTTCTGTCACCAAGCTACTGAGATTTGTGCATGGTGCACCACCGTGAAATGTGGGTTTCGTTTGAATCATGTTTCAGCGATGTATAATGTGATTTTTAATGCGAACCTCACATTCAGAAAAAGACGAGTGTGCTATTGCCACAGAACTGGCGTGCCTTATGCAGCATTGCGGTGTGTAACTGATGCTTAGCTGTAACTGCTGCTTTCTTTGACGAAAAACAGCAGTTCTAGTGGCGGAATGTCTGCCCTGGCACTTCTGATGGCTGCCTAAAGCATTAAATGCGTCTGTATGCTTCTGGCTTTACTGAGACGAAAGTCAGGTAACATTTGCTTACAAGTGTCATTGATGGTCATTTTGTGTGGTGTTTGGTAGCACGAGAATGGGGCAACTATGAGGTGACCATTTAAGGGTTTTATAACTGTCTGATCTCTTTGAGATAGCTTGACTCCCCTGATCTTATATACACAACTGTACACACTTGTTAACAATCATGAGACAACAGCAGAGAAGCTCTACAGCAAGACAACGCGGCCAGAAAAGCAAAAAGCAGAAACTTATATCCCCTAGGCACCTGAAGAGGCAATGGAGGTGGAGAAGAAGAAGACATGACAATAAATGCAATGTTCCAAAGAAACAACGTTTGAGGTTTTGAGGCTCTGTAGCACCAGCGAGGATCCTGAAATGCTTTGGGTAAATGTTTCAACTCCAAATTTTAGGCTACTCTTTTCAATTTCCAAATGAAGAGATTTTTTTATGTGCACAACTATGTACATAGGCGTCTGATCTCACTACCCAGAGACCAGGGGTAATTACTAGAAGTCCAATTTCACGTAGAAAAATACCAGCCCTTACCGGGGATTGAATCCAGAACCTCTAACAGTCGAGGCGGACACCATGCCTCGAGACCACGCAGCCTCCCCCCCCCCCCCCCCCCCCCCTCCCCAAAGAAACAAAAAACGAGGCGAATAGTCACTCAATAACATGCTAGTGACTTACAGGTGAGCGAAACTGAAGGACAGAACCACAATCTGGCCAGCGAGCTGTCCAAGCTACAGTCCGAGAATGCCAAGCTAAAGGTGCTGGTCAGCCAGAAGGAGAAGGAGATCCTACACCTCCAGGTCCCGGACAAGGACATGATGCACCAGATCAGGATCCTTGAGGATGAGATGACCATGCTGCGGACACAGTCCAGGAGACTCACTGAAGAAAAGGTCAGTGTTCGTTTTTTTAGATTAAGTTACGTGTATGTAGTCTTCAGAACGCTGCAGACAAAATATTAGCTATTCATGGCGCCTTCAGGCGTAGTGGGCATATAGTGGGCGAAGTGCTCAGGATCACACCGGCCACTTATACTTCCCATGACTGCTCCTGGTACCCCTCAAGGCAGGGTCGACCTGAGAGCCAAGGTTATTTATGAAAAAAAAAAAAAGTCTGGCTCTAACAGGCCCCGAACCCACGACCTTCCGATCAGCAGGCGAACGTCTAGCCGCTACAACACGACGACTCCCGATATTACGAGACAATTCTGCGTTATTTGGTTTGATAATGCCGACTTAACGGCGATCACATCACTGCCAAAACGTTACCAAACCGCCAACAGCTGGCTTCAAACCCCTCTGTATAATATCAGCGATATACGAAGACACGATTCTAGTACACGAAGAGCTACTACAGAAAACTGTTACAAGACTCACCTGTCATAAAATGAGAGATTTAAGTGTGTGCTTGTGGATGTGCGCGCGCGTGTGTGTGTGTATCGGGGGGGGGGGGTGTTCTGAGGGCAGGAAGTAAGTATAAAAATGTTACCCCACAAGACATTACACAGAGTGATAAACACCCGGTGACACAAAGTGCCACCATGCGGATAGAGATCACCCGTGGAGAGGTCCCAGAAACCGCCTTTAGCCTTCATGCTATAAGCGGCCCCTGGCAAAAGCAGGGGTGGGGCTTTAAAATAACGAACAATTGCGGCCCACATGGGGATGACATGTTGTTGATACAGTGAACTAGGATTCAGAGGGCACCTGTGAGTCAGTATACAATTAGTCTGAATATGTATGTGTACTACTGTGTGTTCACACTTAACCAGCACTTAATCATCTCAGTGATTGATTATGGACTAGGGTTACTCAATGTCTCGAAGAGTCAGCTAGAGAAACTGGAGCGAATACAGAATGAAGCTATGCGGCTGATCCTGGGTTGTACAAGAGACACTCCGATTGTGTGCATGCGATACATCCTTGCATTGCCGACTATTGCAGATAGGCTAAAGGTACTGCAGACAAAGTCATACCTCAGAGTAGCTGCAGATAGGGAACACCCTCTGTATGAAGCTTTGGCTGCAGGCAAAGGTCAGAGGCTGAAAAGGGGAAAATCGTGAATGGCCCAATCAGGGAAACAATAAGACAAGTACGCATGCTGGAGAACATTGGGCGAGGAGAGGAGTGGGTCAGAGTCCAGCGGAAAAGTCTGACCTGTGTAGGATTATGATCACACTGGGCCGTGTGTGCAGAAAGTGGCCAGCGGGTGCTACGGAGGTTGAAGTCTAGAAGTTGATTCACGACAATTCACGCACAGTTGATCTGATTATCTATACAAATGGTTCAGTGTTGAGAGGATAGAGAAGTGCTTGGGGGTTCGTAGCAAAAGCCAATGGAAAATCCTTAGTACAAGATAGCCTAGCATATAACATTACAACATCTAGCATCAGAATGGAGGTGGAGGCGGTAACTGCAGCTCTCCTGTGGCTAGAAAATAAGATGCATACACACGTCGTAATTGTGACAGACTCTGAAAGCATGCTGAAAAAGATGAGGACAGGGATGCTTTGAGCAGAGTGGCTAGCTTCACTGGAAAGGTCACGGGGGTGAGCATACTTTGGATCTTTTCTCCAGGCTATGCGGACGTGGTGGGTAATAAACAGAGAGACAGATTGGTTTGGATCCGCACCACTGGGTGGTGAATTGATACATGACAAGGCAGATGTGGTCAAGGCCCTTTTGATACGAGCAACGAAATCAGTAGAGAAAGAAGATAATTATGGCCTGGAGAGAATGAAGCACATGGGTGTAACCAGAGGGTCTGGCCGGCTCACTACACTCAGAGGAAAGGCAAGACGGACTTTTAACCAGATTGTGACCGGTACCATCAGTATTGGAACTCTGCGCTGGCTGCTGAAGATGAGGACGGAGCATGCATGGGAATGCCCCGTGTGTTGTGATGTCAATTCTTGACTCAACTCAACTACTGTGTGATAAGCATGCATGCCCACTTAGAAGGGGAACTGTGATGTTTACTAACTGCATTTGCTCATAGAATGTTGTGAATTAACAAGCGGCAAAAAGAATACAGATTGTGGTACAGGATGCTAATGATAGACCTGCAGTCTCTACGGATGGTAAAGTGCTGGAGACAGTTGACCATTTTACATACCTGAGATTCAAGGTAGATAACCAGCCAGCTACACTGGACCAAGACATCACTACCAGGATGGCTACACTGGACCAAGACATCACTACCAGGATGGCTACACTGGACCAAGACATCACTACCAGGATGGGTACACTGGACCAAGACATCACTACCAGGATGGCTACACTGGACCAAGACATCACTACCAGGATGGGTACACTGGACCAAGACATCACTACCAGGATGGCTACACTGGACCAAGACATCACTACTGACACTGGACCAAGACATCACTACCAGGATGGCTACACTGGACCAAGACATCACTACCAGGATGGGTACACTGGACCAAGACATCACTACCAGGATGGCTACACTGGACCAAGACATCACTACCAGGATAGGTAAGATAAAAACAACAATGAACGGATTAAAATGAGTTTGGGAGGACGAAAAGCTTATGAGTACAACAAACACTCATGTGTTCTCAGCACTGTTTTTTACGGCAGTGAAACGGTCCCACCAGGAGAAACGGTTAAATAGATGAGAGACACCTGCGATGAGAAGAATACTTGGCATTAAGTAACAGGACATGATCACAAATACTGGGGTGTTAGAGAAAAGCAGCTATCACAATAGTTCTCTCAATGCTAAGGCTCAGTTGGCTGGGTCACACTTAGAGAACGAACGACAGCAGAGACCTAAGGACACCCTCTATAGTGAATTAACTGGCCGGTAGAAGATGTCGTGGTCGGTCCCTGCTACAATGTAAAGACATGTGCAAGCGGGACATGAATGTTACATGTACATGTCCGAAGTAGACTGACAATTACCTTGAAAAAAAATTAAGCCCTAACAAAAGTAGAACTAGCTGGCTTCCCAATAAAACCCGACAATGAACTTCATCAACTATGATGAACTGTGATATGTATCTTTTTAGTTTTTCGCCCTTTCCCCTCTCTCCCTTCTGCCAGGCACTATACAAGTCTAGGAGTCAAAAGATGGAGTCCAGTTTGGAGGAGTCTAACAGGCAAAAAGGTAAACTCTCTGTGGAGAGAGACAACCTGCTAAAGGAGAACCAGGAGGTGAGTTTTCCAATGCCTGTTACATGATGATATGTAGATTCAAATTATAAGTGATGGAGTTTCTTGTAGGTGGCTGTGGACTGGGAATTATATTAGAAGCTGTTTTTTTTTTTTTTTTTTTTTTTTTAGATAATGGATACTGAGAGGTTTGACAGGTTTATTTATGAGGTTGTTTAATATTTTAAAAAAGAAACTGTTGTGTATGAACGAAGAGCTTTTATGTGAATTAAGCAACCTGTTGTATGCGAACTACGGATTTTGTTCTGTGTCAATTAATGTCTGTTGAATGTGAACTAAGGATTTATTGCATGTGTGAATAAGACATTTAGATTGATGGGGGTTGCTGTATTTCTCACTGAGATTGCTCTCTCTCTCTCTCTCTCTCTCTCTCTCTCTCTCTCTCTCTCTCTCTCTCTCTCTCTCTGTGTATGTGTGTGTGTGTATGAATATGGGCGCGGGTGTATATGCATTCAGGTTGGCGTGAGGATATAGACCGATGTGTAAGTGCGTGCGTGTGTAGACAAGCATGTGTGCACGTGCATGCAGGTGGGCATGAAAGAGTCAGACAGAACTGTTAAGGCATTTTGGTACAAGACGTGTGCAATGTTATCCACAAGTTCATTCCATTAAATGCAAGCCATAGTTAACTCTTTCAGTCCAGACAACGCACTGCACATTCACTGACTACTCTTTACATAGTACATGTTTCTTATCTTCTTCTACCACATTCCTTTCTTACATTTACTCATCATGACCCAGTTACTTATGACACAGTTGTTACTCAAACTAGTTATGTTCCATAAATCTACTGTGTAAACCCATAACCACTCAAAGATTGGTATTCTAGGATACACAGAATCTGGGATTGATTGCTCAGTACAGCAAGTAACTGGGACTTACTCTTCGAGTCCCAAAGAACAAATGATGAGTGAATTACTGCATCTGCCCAGTCCCTTTACTTAGCTCTCTTACTTGTGTATTTAGGTCCGAATACATTGAAGAAATCTGGCTTGTCCAATGGTCACTGCCACTGTTTTACTACCACTCTGAATGCTGCTCACTGATGAATGTTAATTGTGGACATTTCTTCATCGGCATCTCCTTCCTAAGACACCTTTATCTGGTACTGAAGGAGTTAAATCTCGCTTATATTTGCTTTCTCCATCCATCCAGCTTAAGAACAGACGCAGAGGCAGTTGCTGCAGCTTTCCATTGGTTGGAGAACATGACACACACACACACACGCATCGTAATTATAACTTCTTCTTCTTCTTCGCGTTCACCGGCTGTGAACTCCGGCGAAAGTTCTGGTTGTTCGTCCACTTCTGGACTGAAGTCCTGTTCAGGAACCTGAGTGTTGCGTGTGCATCCATTTGACAGATCTGTATGCAGACTGTTGGTTCCTTGCCTCTCAGGCAGATGCACTCTGACTTCGAAGGAAGCTCCCTATAAGTCAACTCTTATGACATGCTTTTGGGTAGACAGTGGGTCTATTCTTGTTTTTCCCATAGCAGGGCCCCGGAACCCACACGGGGGGTAATTGTAACTGACTCAGAAAGCATGCTGAGAAAGGGGAGGACAAACATGCTTTATGCAGAGTGGCATGCTTCGCTTCTAATGTCAACGGTGAAGAGCACTGTCTGGATCTTTTCACTGGGTTATGCCTGCGTGTTGGGAAATGAACAGGCAGAAAGACTGGTTGGCTCTGCACAACT